ATCAAAACTCTAACATTTTCCGCATGATAACAATAGCGTTACAAGGTTCCTTTAACATGTGTATCTTGAGTGGGCGAATTATGGTTAAAGACACAGTCAGCCTTATTCCAGTTGTATAACGGCGACCTGTAGGTGAGTGTGCGAGTTAAAATCTGACGTCGCATCGGCATTATTTCAACCATATAAGTTGACATATATAAAATTAAGTAATGAATACAAAGTTATATTTAAAAACAAATTTGTCAAACATATTTTATCATAACAATATTATTTGCAATTGCTTAAAACACTGGCTATATAGCCACAAGCAACCAGAGCCAGGCCACCTCGCCTGTCGGTGAGGTGAACTGGGCTTTGACGTCGCGTTCAAGATTAATGCACTCATATAACGACGTGTGTGTGTGTGTGTGTGTGTGTGTGTGTGTGTGTGTGTGTGTGTGTGTGTGTGTGTGTGTGTGTGTGTGTTTTACACTAGTAAAGGTCTATACCGGTTTTGCTAAACCGTTGCTGAAGCCCTATTCTAACCCTGATCCTCACGGGTTCCATGTCGTCAGATGGCTTGCTAACAACCAAGTTACACACATTCAATATTACACACACTTTAAGACATGCATGGTGTACGTATTCTTCTGCGTATAATGAAACATTTTAATGTTTCCTTTCAATATGTGTATGGTAGAAGAACAGGACCAGATAATCCAGTGATTGATATCATTAGCTAAATCACACGCCGTCATGGAACGATGCCGCCGAGTTAATCAAAGTCAGCCAACCTGGCCAAAGGACCCGTTAGGTGGCCACGTACGACAAGCAAATGTAACTGCGTACCATAAATTATATATTCCGGAATCCCAACAGAATCTCTATTTACTTTACTTTACTTACTTTGGAGATTTAACGTGCGCTCTCCGACTGATGCGTATTTCGCACACGGGCCCGGCCAGGCCATTTAATGTGTTTCCGAAAGGGGCGAAAGTGGTCTGTGCAACCAAAAGAGGGGGCTTTAGGGGTTGCTTATATAGAATTTGGGAATTTTGAGATTTGGAATAGATGCCGATGGGGTTGGGGAGGAGAACTAAGGGAGCTGGGTATCTCTAGTATCAGACGACGGGTGGCCCAGTCGTCAAAGGCGCCGCGATAACTGTGCAGAGTTACGTCCCTTGGGCACGCCAGAAACCTATGATTGAGGGTTCGATTCCCGTTTCGCCCCGATTATGTTTCTTGGTTTGTCAGCACCTTACCCGTGCTCGTGGGTTTCACCGAAGTGGTAAACGTCACTCACTCACATATATATGTCATTATAGCATTATGCATATTTAATTAAGACGCCCGCCGTCGTGCAGGTTAATGTTTTAGTAATCTGTGGAACTGATCTACAAAGAGAGTGCAAATTGCAATATAACGAGTCTGATTTTTCCCTTGAGGGAATAAACTTGCAACAGCAGTAGCTATATAGTCTGTGACTGCCAGACGAACTACCAATATTGATCGGCAGCCTGTATTGGCAGTCTAGGCATGGTTGACGGAGAAACAGATGCTGTTTGGTCTTCTTTTGACCTGGACGAACAAAAGTGTCTTCTCAGAGGTGTCGTGTTGGACACATAACAGACCATAGAGAAACACATTTGTGACGGAATCCGGAGAATTAGCGGGTATAAACAAATTAACGTCTTTTAGTCTGGCGCGAGCTGGTTTCGGCGTAAGAGAACACATCTGCATCTAACAGTTTCAGTAGCATACGTCCTCCTGATAATAAGATTGAAATGAAAGAATTATTGTTCTGGTCTCACAGGAAGTAGGTATTATGGTTTTACGCCGCTTTTGGGCAATATTCCAACAATAACCATGCTTCACTAGTTGTACATATGTGGGAATCGGTCTCGGGTATTAACCGCTAGGGTATCTTGTCGCACCACAGAAGGCAGACATTCCTTGAAATATATGTGGTCATTATGAATAGCCATAACGACTCATGTGTCCGTCATTTCCCGTCGCTGGAACACTCATCGGAAATCGTCGGGAACAGCTGCCAGATTGCTCAAGTGGCATTAAGCAATAATCATTCACTTACCCTTTTGATACGACAAGACTAGTGTAACATCATATCCCTCGTACTGAGTGAGACAACGTATCACCTTCCGTTCAGAATCATTTACTGTGCGGCGGGTCACAGGTCAGGAGATAAGATAAAATAGTTATTTTTACACGGAAAGACAAAGGGTGTTGTATTTTGTCCGATAAGTACGGTTTGCGGGTGTAACATCAAGCAATAATAATTAATATCATGTTCTTGGGGGACTGTTTGGCGTGTTGACAACGTTGCGGCAGCACTGTTAAAAATGTGTGAACCGGGTTCACCTATTCTTTGAGGACAAATCATAAACGATGATTCGACACAAAATTATTGCGCCAACTCCGCCCCCAGCCCCTCCAACCCCTCCCCCACCCCGCAAAAAAAACCCAAAACAAATATTAAATTGTAAACAAGAAAAATGGTTTGCCATGGACCTAGCTCTGGAGCTCTGAGCTCTGCCATCTGGAGCTCGAAAAAGGGTTTAAAACATACATCGTTAATACATCCACCGACATAGTATATTTCAACCTTTTACTGGGATTTCAGAATGTTCGTCAGTAATGGAGACATAATAACACTATACAATAATCCCATGGCATTGTAAACAACAGTCATTGGAACTTCGTGTTGCACATGGAAGCAGCTTCACGTCGACGAGGTAACATTTGACCATTGTTCATGGATCCCCGTGGCAAGAATGATTGGAGGTCAAGATATCATGGCGATATTGTAACGAACACGTCACATTTTCATTCGTGAAGCCTATTTGTCCAGAACGTTCCGCGCTGCGGCGGTCTCGGTCAAAGATAATTTCACTTCGGCTTACAGTCTGAATCACTTCGACCTTTCCTCCTACATCACTCCGACACGACGTGATAAAACTGTTCAAAGCGGCGTTAGCCCCAACATACTCACTCACTCTCATAAAACTGTGTACTATTTATAACCCCCAAATGTCCACAGGTATGCTTATTGAGCTTGCGTCTAAAACACTGACTGGCCCCTTTAGATTTCTCATACGTCAGTTGCCAATATAAACCGATTCGTAGCCACCGAATGCACGCGTTTTTGTGATGTTCCAACTGATCTTACGGCATATATAATGACGTTGTCCGGGGACATCTACTGTTCCTGTTTGTGCTGGAATAGCAACGCTTCAAACATAACAGTTACGAAATGTGTCATCTAACCTAAAAACGGAATAATTCATTTATGGTTTCTTAATTGAGTTCACGATATTAATTGATTTTACGAACGTAGTGGAAAAAATTAAGCTTTTTTCCGTTACAAGATTACGAAATTGTGACGAGGTTTCGCCAGGCGTAGAAATGTGTTGCAAATGTGATTATGTCACTGTGTAATTCTCCTTGTCATTTAGACCGCCTCCGTGGCCTAGTGGTAGAGCGTCCACCCGGAGAGCGGAAGGTCCGGGTTCGATCCCCGGCCGCGTCATACAAAAAGACCTTAAAAGATGGTACTTGTTGTTACCCTCACTAGAACGCAGCATAAGGGAATAAAACAAGGACTGGTCGGCTCGGAGTCAGTATACTGTGTCTGAGTGGGGTATTCATGTTAAACTGCGGCATGGTATCTCAGTGTGCTCGCACTATAAATCGTAGCACTATTTATCGTAAATAAATAGTACAAGCAGCCACACGTTCATGCACGTCGCTATATAAGTGCAATAATCTTGAACGCGACGTTAAACCCCATTTCACCTCACCTCACCTCCTTGTCATTAAGTCATACATTTTCATGTCTATTTCTTACAGACATTATTTCTGTTAATGTCTTCTGAACAGCCGTCTTGAACACTTAATGTAAAAGTCATAGACGGAAACGCTGTCATCTTTATAGACTTCTACACACAATAGATGACAGGAAGAGTTTTGCATTGTTGAACATACTCGTATAAAACCTATTTCTTCACATGAAGATTTCGTTCATTCCACGATCCATATGCATGAGAATGTTTTGTTGTTGTTTACGCCACACTCAGCAATATTCCAGCTTTTTGACTGCGGCCAATAAATAATCGAGTGTGGACCACTGGACCAGACAATCCATTGATTCATATGGTGAACAACGCTCCGCATCGTTACACGGCATCAACCAAATCACCAACTCTGATCATCCGATCCATTTTTCAATGTAGGTGCCGTCGTTAAACATCGATCTCAATTGAGTGGCACACTTCATAAACACCTCAAGTAGGTATCACTTTCAAAGAGAATTGTTGTTTTGCAGGAGAAGTACATGTAACAAATCATAAAGCTAACGAAGGACAACACGACATCTCACTTGCGGTTTAGCCAGGTGAGTTAGAAAATTAGTAAAGCCAAGAAAATATGAAATACAGTTTTTATGTAAATATAATTATATCCAGCATTGTGCGCTGATCAAGGATGAGGTGGAGTTATCAATTTCATCCTGTGATAATGTTGAAGACATAAATAAATAAATAAATAATAATGTATTAGTTGTGCATTAGTCTTTTCGATAGAGCTAAACGGAAACCTTAAACTGATCAGTCCCGTTCCAGCGATCTCCACATGCAATAAAACTCTATCGGTTATCAAATCACAATGCCATTTTCGCAAAACTGTTAAAAGGGTTGTTTTGTACTCATCAAAGGGTTTTCCATTGAACAAAGGCGATCATGATATAAAAAAGTAGACGAAAATGAGTTTTGAATGAGACATTGATGACGTAAGACGGTTGAAGTGATGGCTACAAACAAAACTCATCCAAATCTCGTGATAATGTACGGTGAAACATGTTACCAACATTTATCAATATATTAAGGTGCTTGGAAACTATATAATGACTGACACGGTGAATCATGGACTGCTCATGAAATGACTTTCAAAGAAGTTCACATCTTAACACAACTTTTGTGCTTGTCATCTATTCTGAAGATAATTACCTTGTGCCTTGGTCAAAATAGATTCCACAAAAAACTGTGAAAAAAGGATCGGTGGACCCGGATGTTATCCGCTGGTAGAATAATGCTCAAGCTTTCAACTCCTGCTGACAATTCTATCCACAGTAGGAATATTTACAGACTACCATTATATACCGTACCATTGCATTCCTTTCATAAATAGATTGAAGTGATTCCATGGCATTTGATTGACTTGTTTCAATAAACCTAAAACATTAGGCCACGCCCACTAGCGAACTACTGCTTCCTGGTTGACGGATAACAGAGTGGGCGGACCTTCAGTTAAATTATTGCACTGAACGATGTTACTGGTTTCGTATGGTTGTGGATAGTTTTTGTGTGTTAAAAATTAATTAAATAAAAACGAAAAAATCATAAAAGGAAAGTGCATTACCTTATTCGTTCAGATATCCCCATAACGCGTTATATTTTACGGATCCGCGAACACTGTAAATAGGGAATATCAAAAACGTCCATTTTAGAATGTTCATAATGACGCATTTGTTTAAATATCACAGTTTGTTTCGCTAAATGTTTGGCTCAAGGTAGCCACGAAGAATACTATTCATATCCATAGCGCTCATAGCTTCGCCGGTAATCCAAATAGTGCGTGACTAACGTTCCCATGTTAACACCATTAAATGTTTAACATTCCTGTGACATTTTACACGAAAAACTCAATAATAGCTACAGACTCAGGTTTTGAGAAAAATATAAGTCAACTGCTAAAAAATGAAAGCCCTAATGAACACATCTTCTCATTGTACGACAAAACACAGTTCTTGAAATTTTGTTTTTAACATTTTATGAAAATGGTCCATCATGTTATCTACGCAAAACAAAAACGTTGCCTTTGATGTCACCTTGTGTGGAGGTTTTCACGTCAATAATAAATAAAACAGGATGACACAGTTCCTATAATGATGATCATGGCTGTTAAGTACAAAGGGTGTATCTGACTCTCAAACACAAGGTCAGGTGAAAAAGAAACAAACGTATCATTCTTGATAAAGGGGAACATTTTCAGAAAAAGAGGCTATAGTATAATAACAAATAGTACGATTCCCATAATGAGCGCAATGCGTGAAGCCAGTTTGTGGTCAGAATACTCGACATAATGGGTGCTTAAAACTATGCTCACTCACAAATGTTTGCAACCTGACACACAACAACACTGTATGGGTATTAATACACACTGCCGGAGATTTTCTTTTTTTAAAATGGCAATGCTACGTTTTAAACAATATTCCATAAATATAACTACACCTTATTCCAAGGGTGATGGCAATGTTTTTTGTTTGGATTGCAATAAAAGCGACAAAATCCTTTTCATAATCACAAGAGACTAGTGTACGTTTCCGACGTTATCATAATTATCACTATCAAACGGTGAGTGTATCTTGACCCTCCGTGACAATTTCATCAGTCGGCAACAATAGACTTAAGTTACCTCTTTTATGAAAGTGGTATCATAAAAATCGGAAAATAAGGAGTGTTTTTCAGTCTCACATTCAGGGATGCAACTCTGCAATGATACCAGTAATTGGGGAGCCAAGATTGTTAAAATAATCACAACAAATAATGGAAAAAAAATAAACGTCAATGTTATGGAATGATTAAGATCAAACGGAAATACTTTTACATGATAAGGTGGTAATAAAAAAGCTTGCTCCACAAATAGAATTCATCACATGTGACTATTTGTTTTGAATTATCAGCATACCGGGGACGTGTTGAGATTTTTATGATCGTATTTTAACTTGCAACGCGAAATACTGGCTGTCTGAAACTCAACACACAATTGTGAAATTTGCAATTTACTGGGAAAATATTTTTTCAAAGCAATTCTATTTGTGACATATATCAGGTTGACCTCATTCACCTCACATCTACTTGAAAAACTAACTTTAAAAATAACGTCCCCTAAAGAATATCACGAATATCAAGAATTCAATAGCATTCCTTTCTTTTAATGATCGGTAGGCACACACTAACTTTCCTCTCCTTTACGTTCAAATAATGATGACCTTCCCTTTAACGGAACGCTATTTATTCCTAGCCTGTAACTGCGAGACAAGAGCGTCTGCAACTACCAAGTTGAACGAAATGTTCACTTGCTCAAAGACTTCCTGACCGCCTCCTTTGTCAAGTGGTTGAGCGTCCGCGTGGGAGGAAAGCTCGAAGTGATGCAGGTGTCAGACGTTTACCACTTCGGTGAAACCCACGAGCACGGGTATGGTGCTGAGTAACCATGATATAAACTGACATCCAAAAGAAACTTTACCAACTGAAAATATAACTTTCAGACAAAGTATAAAACACATAACCTAAATACAACAATAGTGTATGCAGAAAATGTTACTCGTGTTCTGTTACGTGTTTGCGAGATAACACGCGAAAAAGTGAAAAACACGTGCACCACGGACAACTGCAAATGCACGTGCGGTAAGGGTATTGAGGCATTTGATGGTCAAACACGCTACTAATGACTTGTTCTCCTATATATCACCTTCCAATACAACAAATAACAGAACACTCTCTGGATTGCTATGCAGTGCACCACAACTCACCGTTTAATTCAACATTAATATCACATTTCCATATATCTCAGTCATTTGACATCCATGATATACACAATATCTAACATATGACATTGAATAAATTGACAATATACAAATACTGACGACTAGTCTTGATTAACGCGACGAGCTTCAAATATACGTGGCAACGAGCCCTACAAAAGGCAACAAGCCATAATCAGTGATAATAAACTATCATGAGCAACGAGCTACTGTTTACATGCGACAGGCATCAGTTTCTCAGGGCGACAAGCCTCCATGTTTGCGACATTCTCAGGGCGACAAGCCTCCATGTTTGCGACATACCTCGTCGTGGGCGACAGGCCATCATGGTTATAATTAACACCGTTAACCGCACATACTGCAACTCAGAAACAATCATTAATAAAAGTAAAGTTTTCAGTGGCGCACTGCAAGCGAGAATGACCACTCTATACATGCTTAACCTTATATAGCCCCTTATAAGCGCCCCCTACTCTTACACAACACCATGTTGTATTTTCCTACGGTAGGAGAAAGTAATTTCTTTCTTATTCGTACCTCAAACGAAAGAAATAATATTTATTGAACGTTAGCGATTGTTTATGTACTCTGCCTATTGTCCATGATTCTGAAAGCTCAACTTTGGGGGGCTCTGACGTCATTCTCGGTCGCGGTATGATAGTCATTTTCAGTGTTGATTATGTTGATATATTGATCTTCTCAATACAGTTTACTTCATGCCTGTATGTTTTGTTGTTTTTGAGCAAGAGTGATTTCAAACTCTGGTAAAGTTTCTTTTGGACGTCAGTTTATATACATTGCAAAACCTCTAATTGAACATGGATAGAGGGGGACATTATCTGATTAAATTTATAACGAGATGGGTAAACATAAAATCTTTGACTAATAATATTTTGCCCTAATGACATTATAAGCATTACAAATCATAACAAAGTGAAACTCATCTTCAATAGTGTTACAGCTACATAATTCTCACACTCGCAGTTCTCAGCAGAATGACAGTTTATAAAGGGTATAACTATTTGTTTTGGTGCCCCGAATGAACGCACCATGCCAGTCTTGCTCGTATATTGTCTTCATACGAAATACGAATTCTGCGATATAAACTGCAGTATTATGTACAAATTGTTGCTCCAACATATAGCCAAATCCCGCAGAAAAGAGACTATTTTTTACTTATGAAGCCCAATTAATTTTACCATTTTCTGCTGCTTGAAACATCATATTATTACACATTTTGACGTGTCTACTTTCAGGCATTCGTAAGAAACTGCACCAATACTTTAAACAAACGTTTTTTGTATAGACATAATGGTGAGGTGAGGTGAAATTGGGTTTAACGTCGCGTCCAAGATTATTGCACTTATATAGCGACGTGCATGCACGTGTTGTGTGTGTGTAGGTGCTTGTACTAGTCCGGACTGATGCCGATTTATAGTGCTAGCTCACTGAGATACCATGCCGCAGTTTAACATGAATACCCCACTCAGACACAGTATACTGACTCCGAGCCGACCAGTCCTTGTTTTAGCCCCTTAATGCCGAGCGCCAGACAGGGTAACAACAAGTAGAATCTTTTAACGTGTTTTTGTATGACGCGGTCGGGGATCGCACCCCGGACCTTCTGCCCTCCGGGCGGACGCTCTACCACAAGACCACGGAGGCGGTCTAGAGACATAAAGAGGGTATCCGCCACATTCTCCGCTTGCAACATGATTTAAAGTGGCTTTCTTCTCTTGTTACAAGCGTCCACAGGCAAAAACATGGACAATAGCATTGTATAAATCAACACCCCATACTTCATACCTATAAAGCAGAATTCAGCTGACTTGTGCATCCAAATGTTTCAAATGGAATAAGTTTGGAATATACAGTTACATGTACCTACAAATACCATACATTACATTATAGGCTTGAAGTGAAACATTTGCAATATATTTCGACTTTGTCAATGTCTTTGAGAAGATAACTCTAGGATATTTGTAGTATGAAATATTTTCTATTTTCGAACCTCTGGAATACCACTTTTCGTGTTAAGATAACATACCCCCATTTTTAAACGTCACAACTTTTTTTCATGATTAACAGTTAAATGATAGTCAGTTCAAAACCGTTCTTGTGTGTTAATACGCGTCTGTAAACCATACATATGGTATTATTATATCAGATGAGAGACCTTATCCATACAAGCAGATTTGGAAGATTTCAGCTCGTCTATACTGTACAATATTTCCTCTCTGCTAATATTTGTTTGTTCGTTGTTTAACGCCGCACTCAGCAATATTCCAGCTATATGACGGCGGTCTGTAAATAATCGAGTCTGGACCAGACAATGAAGTGATTGACATCATGAGCATCGATCCAAGCAATTGGGATACGAGGACATGCATCAACCAAGTCAGCAAGCCTGACCACCCGATCCCGTTAATCGCCTTTTACGCCAAACATAGTCGCCTTCAACGGCAAGAATGTGTTGCTGAAGACCTATTCTGTCCCGGATCTCCACGGGTCTC